AGGTTGCGATGTCCAAAGCAGGTGTTGACATAAGTAGCAATTCCTCCTTTGAACTGGATCAATAAGAGAAGATAATGTAAGATTCTTTTATGGATCCAAATAAATGGAACTTTAACAAAATTTACACTGTATGTATTCATTTTCAGCACGTAAGTAAATACTTTTACATAAATCCCGGGGGGTGGCGGTGAGGAACGGTGACGCATATTTATGCTGCTTTAGCATTTCTCAACAAAGTCGGTGTGAGGCTCAATAGTTTCCCCAATCTTACACACTGACAAGAATTCAAAGCATTTATTCGATCAAGCGAAATTGTTAAAATTAAATGTTTTGCAAAAACAACAACAAAAGTCCTATTATTTCAATTATTTATGTAACGAACATGGTTATGGCTCGCTGATTTTAGGGGCGTTCTCTGCAGTTATGAATAATGGCAACAAAAAGTTGAGTAATTTATAATATATTGTACGTGATCCATTAAATTGTTGGACATAATATCGTACACCAATTCAATGGATCATGTACAATATTGGCGTACTATTCACCCGTTAGGCCTTTTCTCAGCCCCCCCTCCCCTTTCCCTCGTTACAACCAATCAAATTGGACTTACTTTTTCAACTCTTCCGTCCCTTTTTGCCTGGATTTCATCTCTCACCTACTTATGTTCTGTCACATTCTTCTTGCTGTTCTCTCGGATACTACTTTACCCCTAAGTGTTATTTTTAAAAAAAAATATATATTTTTACTATTGTTTATTCGCTGATGAAGACTTCTGCCCGATACGTTTGTTGTTTAGTTGCGTTCTTTTCCCCCCAAATTTTCCCATAATTTATTTCACACTTTTCCATCGATTCCATGCAGTAACCAAAAAAAAATAACAAAATATTCCTACCCCAAATAACTAATCGTCACTGCAGGACGGCCCGTTGTTGCCATGGCAACTGCACTCGGACGTGAACCTGGTCTCCTCTGTGCCCGACCCAAGCGTCACATCCAACTACACGGACTGCATGCCGCTGCCAGAGTCCCCGAAACTTGGCGTCATCATCTGTCCCCATTCAATGGAGGCCGACTATACGATAACCAGAGTTCTAAAAGTAAGTGCCACGGTAACAGCCTATCATTCTATGGAGACCAACTACACGATAACCAGAGTTCTAAAAGTAAGTGACATGGGTAACAGTCTCTCATTCAATTGAGGCCGACTACACGATAACCAGAGTTCTAAAAGTAAGTGCCACGTGTGACAGCCTCTCATTCAATGGAGGCCGATTACACGATAACCAGAGTTCTAAAAGTAAGTGCCACGGTAATAGTCTCTCATTCAATGGAGGCCGACTACACGATAACCAGAGTTCTAAAAGTAAGTGACATGGGTAACAGCCTCTCATTCAATGGAGGCCGACTACACGATAACCAGAGTTCTAAAAGTAAGTGACATGGGTAACAGCCTCTCATTCAATGGAGGCCGACTACACGATAACCAGAGTTCTAAAAGTAAGTGACATGGTTAACAGCCTCTCATTCAATTGAGACCGACTGCACGATAACCAGAGTTCTAAAAGTAATTGCCACGGGTGACAGTCTCTAAGAAGTAGAACTGAACTGTGTTCGTCTCTGACCGTTTTATTGTGTCTTTGCGTGAGCGTTTGCTTCTATGAATCCTATAGGTGAACTATCCTATAATTGAAGAGCAAACACATTAAGTTCAATTTAGCGATGAAGACTCCAGAATCTAGTTACCAATCAGTTATTGTATATTTTTTCTTCAAAATTAATTTTTTTAATACTGAGTGACGCATGTAGGGTTAGTGCCACCGAAAAAAAGGGGGTCGGGGGCAAAATGTTTGCCACCCCCTGCCATGAAAATCTTAACTGTTGACCCCGAAATCAATATTTAAAAAAAAAAAAAAATCTTTGATTCAGGTTGGACAAACCTCTCCGTCAAACGTCCAGAGATTATGTGTCCTCCTGAATGCTCTAAATAGACTGGCTTGGTACAGGGAGTTTATGGGGTGGGAGTGTGATGGGAGGTTACAGTTGATGCAGATAAGTTGAATAAGAGAAGTTCTCATCCCCCCCCCCCACACACACACACAAATAGTAAATAAAACGTAAAATAAATAAGCAGCAGGAACAAGTAAATGTTAGATGTAAATCTCAAATGATGAATGATTAAAAAAAAATCACGAACTTCCGATAGTTACACAATTTAAAAATAATAATTGTGCGTGTGTGTGTACTTCACCTATATCAATTATGACATTTCCTCGAACAAGATAAAATGTACATATGATGGGAATATTTGTTGAAATCTATTTTGGAATATCCTGTAAAATCCTATCTTAAAAGAGTTTAACAGAAGGAGCGTAATTTGTATGGACTAATAAAACAAAATCTCATGTAAAACTGTTGTTATAGCCTGTGTGTTGACCTTATTTTTTCAAAATAAGTTTGCCGTCCCATACATTAAAAAAAATGCCCATAAACATAAAGAAAAATGTACCACCCAGCCGGACCGCACACAGCCCACTCCCCTTCCTTCTACGCCCCTGCTTACCACACATATTTGGAGAGAAGTAAATGCAGGATTTATGTATCCAGGACTACTAACCAGGTCCATCATTACATCACAACAATTGTTGTTATTAACCAGGTCCATCATTACATCACAACAATTGTTGTTGTTAACCAGGTCCATCATTACATCACAACAATTGTTGTTATCAACCAGGTCCATCATTACATCACAACAATTGTTGTTGTTAACCAGGTCCATCATTACATCACAACAATTGTTGTTATTAACCAGGTCCATCATTACATCACAACAATTGTTGTTGTTAACCAGGTCCATCATTACATCACAACAATTGTTGTTATTAACCAGGTCCATCATTACATCACAACAATTGTTGTTATTAACCAGGTCCATCATTACATCACAACAATTGTTGTTATTAACCAGGTCCATCATTACATCACAACAATTGTTGTTATTAACCAGGTCCATCATTACATCACAACAATTGTTGTTATTAACCAGGTCCATCATTACATCACAACAATTGTTGTTATTAACCAGGTCCATCATTACATCACAACAATTGTTGTTATTAACCAGGTCCATCATTACATCACAACAATTGTTGTTATTAACCAGGTCCATCATTAGATCACAACAATTGTTGTTATTAACCAAGTCCATCATTACATCACAACAATTGTTGCTACTAACCAGGTCCATCATTAAATCACAACAATTGTTCTTATTAACCAGGTCCATCATTACATCACAACAATTGTTGTTATTAACCAGGTCCCTCATTACATCACAACAATTGTTGTTGTTAACCAGGTCCATCATGACATCACAACAATTGTTGTTATTAACCAGGTCCATCATTACATCACAACAATTGTTGTTGTTAACCAGGTCCATCATTACATCACAACAATTGTTGTTATTAACCAGGTCCATCATTACATCACAACAATTGTTGTTATTAACCAGGTCCATCATTACATCACAACAATTGTTGTTATTAACCAGGTCCATCATT